TTTGGGACAGCCGAAGATCGGAACTTTCCAGAACACATATTTTAATTGTATATTTGGTACATTTTTGCTTGGAAAAAAACTCATGCCTGATATGAGGCGTCGACGACAACAAATGAAAGAAATTTTTGAGTGATTTTTATTCCGTGAATAGAATGTATCTAACAATTCATGTTCTCAAAAAACATTTCGTAAAAAGCCAGATTTATTAGCAATACATTCGATACTCAGCAATATTTTAGTGTATGAACAGTTTAAGAATTATGTCAGAAAAAGGCTAGCATTTAATTGTAATATCACAGCTATTTACAGCAAATCGTAATCATTAGGTACATCCTCAGAATATTAGCGACAAATTACACAAAAAAAATTGTTAGAAAATCTATAACGACTTCACTTTTCGACCACGGCCAAAATATCACAATTTCGGAACCACACATTGATCAAGGAGCACCAAATTACACGAGACACCGTCATGAGTAATAAATCTTCCGAACATACACAGAAAAAGAAAGTGATAGCGAACTTCGGCTAGTATCATCAACAACTACTCGATGAAACGAATTTAACCTAGCTTCGTCTTCCTTACGCAGAAAATCGAACAAACATGAAGCATCTCTTGAACTATCCCAAAATCCTCCTGTAAATAGAAAACATTGATGTTACAAGGTTGCTACCGTATTGGAACATTGACACTCCGTACATTTCTCTCTTCGGGTGAACGCTTTTGTTCGCCATCCAAAAACTTTCAATCTTGAACCCACAAACGAGAAATAAAGCAGACAATCTGCCTAATTGAAAGCGTGCTTCAGTCAAATTTTCAGAAAGCACCCACCTCGATCAGATCATATAAGGAAGAGATTTTGTTGAAACAAAGGATAACACTAGTTCGATATGGAATCCACCGGTTAGATAACCCAAAATATCGTAGAGCACCGGAATAAGCTAAAATAATGAAATCCACTCCAATACAAATTTAGAAATTCGCCAATTTTCTAACAACTCCAGTCAGACCTGATCCATGTTTTGTTTGTACAACAACTGCTCTTCTTCCATTCCAAACCATGGAGAAACGTCGTATTCCACCGTATCAGCGCTTACACCAACACGGACGGATATGCTCCTAAAAAACAACTCTGAAACTTTATTCAAAAAGGTACCCTATCCCAGTGCAAGCACGAGCTTATTGTTAGATTGAAAGCTTGAAATTGAGGGCATGCGAACAATTACTTACGTGATGTTCATGTTGATCAACATTGAAAGGTACGGTTCCAGCATGCCAGTGCATTCACGAGCCAACATTTCCGCAATACTACAAATCTCTTCAATTCCTTTTCATACACCAACAAAAAACACCTCTGACATATGTACCTGAACACTTTAGGTTCATCCTCTGGGGCCAGTCGACCGTCCTTAAGATTGTAAACGTGCGAAAGCCGAACACCATAATCAGGGACACTGTTAACTTGAAGTACTGACGATATCGCTCTTTCCAAAGATAACCCATATTGGAATTTGTTCTAGAAGCAAGAAAATCATCGGAACTCGAGGATTCGACTATATCGTAGTTGAAATTCAACTTTCAGGTACAGCTCTTACCGCCAAATTTTGTCCATCAATGGGCGACACTGGCCCGAATGGAGATGGCTGACCAGAGCCGTCTGTCCATCGTACTACGAATTGAGTTCCAGAAGTATCCGATGTTACCCAGTTCTTAAGAATATGAACAGTTGCAAAAAAAGGAACAAACGAATGACGATCACTCTCAGAATCGTCACCTCTGCAGAGTTTAGCGCTTGTAGCAGACTCTCCAATTTTTCTGATGGGATACGAATAGCTACACCATCTTCCACAACGGAAATCTGAGAAAGTTATATTTCAATTAGGAAAAGCAATGCCCCGATTTTTACCCACCTGAAGCCCGTTTGTTTTCAAACCGCCATCAATGATCACGAATGAAGCACCAGTAGCTGTAATGAAGAATCCAAATGTTTTTACTCTTACTGTCACTGAACAGATTGAGAGCCACCTTTCCTAGTGGATCCTCGAGCCAAAACTTGTGTTGAGTATACACCATCCGTTTCATCACAGACCAAATGACTATCTGCCGTTAAATTAGTGTTCGTTGACCAGGCCAGCATTTTACGATTAAACGAAATAATTTCCTCCAACTGAAATAGGAACTGGTAGTTTAAATGAACGTTGAATACTGAAAAATAAGCAAAACATAAAAAGAGGTCCTACAAAAACCGGAAAGAAAAAAATCTTGGATTGCTACGGAAGATGCTTTCTTTAGCACAAGTTGTGCTATGGCTATGCAAAAAAAGATACAAAACAGCCAGAAACTATACGGGAAGGAAAGTTTGACAAGGTTATTTAAGTTACTTTTTCGCATCCATATAGACAACACATTCCTCGAGAGCGGTAATAAAAAGCTACTCACATCATCTTTTGCGGACTTCGGGATTTCGACTAGAGTGACATCATTGCTAAGAGTAACAGTACTACCAGCAAGATGTTTCATGCGGAAAGACCAGCTTCGAAAGTCGGTAAATACCTGAAGAATGGTCGTTAGCTCAATTGCTTTTTTTCTCTTAAAAGGTGGCATTCTAAAGATGGATATACTTACTTTAAGAACTGTTTGAGAAGTTTCTACCGAAAACATCGCAGGCCTTCCAGGAAAATTGACAATAGGCGTTGGATACCCTTAGAGTTTAATTATGAAAGATAAAACCAAAGTTGAATAATAAGGCTGGACTGACAGCTATATTTCAGTCCTAAGCGAAACAGCAAGCGATTTGGGCAAGCCATTGCCCACGGTACCTCGGCATCGTTAAGGAATAAGGCAATAAGGAATGGTGAGTTTGGTAAACTAAGACTTGTGAAGTCCTGAAAATGGTGAAAATCCATATTTTTATAACTGTTATAGGCCTCAATTTACTTTACCTGTAACGTTGGACGGAAAAATAGAATATGTCGTGATAAGGGAGGCACAGCAATTGGCACAGAATGTATAGGAGGAAGACGGTTGTGAACCTGACGAACACCAGCCTGATCAGCATCACAGGATGTGGAGAAAATCTAAATCATTCTCAGATATCGGTGGGAGGAGACTTTCGCAGAATCCACTCTAAAGCTTGCCTGAGCTATTCGATGCAACACATTCAACGGTAGGGTAAAATCATTTAGGTCTTCTCGCTTCCAAACAAAGAGCACCTCATCTAAGCCAATCGTAGCAAAGCCACAGGAATGCACACAGAAAACACTCAGTGAACCGACTGTAAAAGGAAAATCGATTATCGATAATAACACTCTTGGAGTAGCTAAGGAGAGATATGAAGTTCCTTCAAAGTCCACACAGAGGGATGCCGAGAGGCATTTATGTTAATTAATATAATAAAATATTACAGTATGATCATAATATAATAACAATGACCAATAAGAATTGCAGTAGTCTTGTTTTCTTTGATGAACAAAAAGTTATTTTGAAAAAAAGAAACTGTAGCAGAAAGACTGAACAACTCATAACTTATAAAAAAAAGATGTTGAAAGTTGTAATAGGTATGAATAGATTAAGCAGTCTCAAGGCCCCAAATTTGGGTTTTCGAGTTAATATCAGTGTGCAAATTTTTAGAAAAAGTAAACAGCGAGGGTGTGGTAATCTTGAAGTAATCAAAGCCAGGAACAGAGAGTATGCTGCAAAGTCGAGAAATAATTTGATCACACATACCTTTGCAAATTTTGGCGACACACGACAAATTCTTCTTCAGTACTATCGTAACTGGGAGCTCCTCTTTCATTCGACTGCTCACCCATTCCTCCTCAACCATGTCCATTTCACCATTTGGGCAAACAACCAGCAGCTGAGTTCTAGTCGAAGTAGGTAGCGCGCAACCCAATTCATCCTCCAGCCGCAATTCAGCCACACGACGTGCAACAGCATGACGCTTCCTGTTTTTCTGTAAATGCCCTGTCTTTAAAGAGCTCTTATCTTGAATGAAAGATGAAAAAACATTTGTACGTACAGAGATTTGGAAAACCTGAGTAAAGGTGAATACCTTTTTAGGCTTCACAGCACTACTCTTTTCTTCAGTGGCGGGATCCATTTTACCACATGGTGACGAGGCTCCGGGTTTCACTCCATCCCTGTAACCACATAGCAACACTTCAAAAATCTCTCAAGAAGTTCGGTACGTCATGGAAATAAAAAAAGAACTGAATTTAAATCCGCCCTAACTATTGAAGACATTTCAATACAAACCGAAAAACAACACTTCGTTTCTTCTCGGAAGAATCGGAAGGTTGGGAGGTTTCGGCTTCGGCTTCACCGACATTTGTCGTCCGCGTTTTGAGGACGCCACGCGACACACGACTGCTAGTAAATGTTGATGTTGATGGAGGAGTCTCATCAGATACATTTCTGTAAATCCACGAATATAAACAAGTTCAGATTCAAAGCTATACTGCCGATTAACTACTACGAGCCTATATAGCCTGCCTTAAAGCTGGCCCTAAAGGCTCTTCCCTTTCGGTGCCATAACGAACCAAAAAAAAAAANAAATTCGTGGATGAGTAAAGTGTGGAAACGTCCCCTATTTCGAGAAGAAACAAACAAAACCCGATTACCACGAGAAGAAATAAACAAATCTCGGTTGTAACCACAACTGGAATTCTGATAATTCAGCAGAATCCAAAAAACTCACTCTTCAGCATGTTCCCTCATCATTTTTTCATAGTCCTCAATACGGGCCAGCATGATTGCGCATGGAGTACACACACGTGCTTGAGCTTGCTAAATCGCAAGATTATCTTTTTATGTTTTTGTCACAACTTTTAGCTGACTTTACTTCATCTAACAGCACAACTTACGACTGTCCCCTACAGCACCATTACATTATCTAATAATATCTTTGAGGAACCTTTTTCGGATCATCTTTCATATACTCCAGCGTAGCCTTTTCTTTGCAGCATGATCCACATGCGACGCGCCCACACGCACGACAGTGATGACGACGATTGAGCAGGGAAAACCTCGAGTTACACAACATACACATTGAGCAGTCATCATCCGGAATCCAATAGGGCTTCGACTGAAAATACGACATGGAATGTGGATAACTCCTTGAGTGATCGATGATGCGAAAATGAACATGAAGCCAGATACTTTGGGTAGCAATCTATAAACGTATGACAGACAAGACATTTATTGGGAAGCAATACTCAAAACACATCCAATAAAAACATACTTTTCCGAGCTGCAGTTCACTTTCCGTAAGCCTCATTGGATCAGTATCTTGCGATAGGTCATGAATCGTTGAAATAACCTGAACGCGGAATTGCCCACGGTACACTAATTAGTATAATGAACTATTTTAAAAAGCATGAATAGAAACAAAGGGTGTTTGAAAGCATGCACTGCACAGAAGAAATCGAACCTGAGCTCCGAAACGATCACGTGGCCCAGCAGCAGGAGGAGAGACATCTTCCTAAAAAAGGAAAGCTCATCAAACTCCGAACTGATTTTGGTGAAAAGGGCAATCGCTTTTACACGGAACAGATCTCTTTGAAGAATTTATGTCNGAAGAAATTATCTCACTTTAGTCTCACACTCAATGGCCGTTTCTAATCCATGAGTGCTTTCTTCTGACCCAGCTCTTTTTGAACGGCACTCTTCCGGTGACTCAAGTTCAGAATCAAGTTCTTGTTGTCTAGGACTGCTGAAATGGATTAGAAATACAAAGCTAGTGAAGTAATTCTAAAGGCTGCAAGTTCAAAACGTGACGAGAGAAAAAAGACGAAAATGCCAAACATATGCATATAAAGCTAACCTTGAAGACTCAGATTCCTGAGTGGGTTCCTCTGCAACTGCTCTGCCTTCCTGATCGTCTTTCAGACCCGCATCTACTACTAAGGAAGGATCACCATTGCCGAGATTGCTTTCATTGACCCCGAGCTCAGTGGGATCTCCTCTCGGCAATTCTACCGAGGAACCGTCGTTCTTTGCTTGGTCTTGCGAAGACAGCTCGAGTGATTCAGGCCTATTTGGAGCCTCCTCCCGGCTCTCGGTTTCCGATTGAGTTCGGGCCTCTGTGGCAACACTCGTAAGGTCAGAATGGGCACAATGCATAGAGTTTTCAGTCCAGTTGCCAGCCTCAGGTGTTAGATCGTCCTCATCATTCTGAGTGTTTTCTACATCCCTTTCTTGACTTTGATGCTCGTTACATACAGTAGTCGTTGGTCTATGTATCACGGTAACAAAAGAAGCGCTATCTGTACTACTGGAGTTTACGCCTTCTGCCGACGAAACACACTCCGAAACATCTTCGCCCTTCTCCACATCAACAAAGCCACTATCTTCGCAAGACTGTTTTTCGGAGAAGCAGTTACTTTGAGTAGCGGATACAGCCTCGTTTGAATGCACTATAATATCGCTATTTCTTCTCTCCTGATCGTCCATTTGTACGAGTTCCTGTTCTGTCGGAAAATCTCCTTCCACATTGGCATCGACTCTATCCAATATGTCATCAACAACCGCTTTAGCAATCGCACAAATGTCCGTTAACCGGGATGACTCGTCATCTAAAACCATAAACTCAAGTGTAATAGAAAAAAGCGCGTGGTTCTGAGATACTTCATCTATGATCAAATCAAACCTGAGCCTTGCATCTTCTCGACGGCCTCCAGGTGCAATAAACCCGAGTCATTACTTTGTATAGGATTTATCGAGATATCGCTCAGCGAAATTGTATCAGTCACACTGGGATGCTCTAAAAGCCAATCATGAGACGAAAAAGGCATGCTCTTCGGTCAGAATTACCTAATTCAGTAGGAGAAGGGCACTCCTCGATTCTTTCATGGTTAGGAGGTAAACTCGCAACCGTAGCTGGTTCACCGCTACCTATAAAGTCAAAACAAATAATGGTCAATGCAAAGCAGAGTTGGGAAAAAATGTAAGGCTAATAATGAAAACTTTTACGGTATCGAGCCACACACAACTTATTCCAATTATACTATCCACTTCTAGTTGACCTTCGCTGATTTCACCAAGAAAATTTCGACGCTCGTTTTTACCCTTTCTTACATCCGTACATTGCCAGGAGCAAATATTTACATGAGCACGCCTAGATGTTAAGCTCATAGCCTGGATGGATCCAGCTTTCCACCTTCTCATCAGTCTTATGTACTTCACTCAGTAACCAGAAGTACACATTGGTGTTAGTTGAATAAAATCCAAAAGAACAATGAAAAAGAAACGAAGAAATGGCGATTGGAAAAAGCGTTGTACAGCGAAAAAGGGTGAAGTGACACACCTACGACATCTGGGTTTTTGTCTTCGAACTGATTCAGATATTGAAGTACTTCTTCGAATTCAGTGTCACGCTCAGATTCGCTTATATGCTTCTCTTCACCAGTGATTGACTGAAGACAAATCAATATCTTCGAACGACCCCGAATGAAGATGATGAACCTATTCGACTTTAAAAGAAACCTCTTTGCGTATTCGATCGTCTTCTACTTCAGTAGAGAGAGTAGACCACTTCTGATTGGTTTCATCAGAGGCACTCTAAAAAACGGAAGCACAATCTACCTTTCACTACAGTCANCGAAACAGATTTTGTGCTCGAGTAGTCCTCCAAGGAGGGAAGTACAGGATCAGGGGGCTTCAACTCAATCCTTATAGTTTCCTAGAAGAACATAATAAAATTCGCTGAGGTTCAAAACTCACCTTATTTGGCTATATGTGATCCTTCCTACCTAGTAATTAAAATAAGAAAAAAAGCAATGTTTACACTGTGGGGAAAACCTCTCAAATAAACAATAAGCTGTCTCAGCAATGTAGCGCTGTTTTCTTCGATAAATTCCAAGCGCTTAAACATAACTCTCGATTCGACAGGAAGCTTCGATTCGAATCCGAAATGCTTTTAGAACGTTGATCGACACTAAAAACCTGTCCGCCTGCTCTATTTCTCCCGATCAATGCAAGGGCTGGTAGATTTGCATAATTTCATATTCCAGTACAATAACAACGGTGAGAAAGGCTACTTAAGGACGCCTTCTAGAAACGAGAACGAGTTTGCCGAACTGTTGAAAATAAAAAGACATAGTCAAGAATGATTCACAAACCTTTTCTGACAATTTTCGGAGATGCACAGGGAGTTCGATTACAACGGATTGTTCCACAGCACTCTCCTGGGCCTTCGATTCCTTCCGTCTGTTCCCAACTACTACCTCTTCAAGTTCATCTAGCAACGCATCCATATCCGGTACTGTCTCCATTCTGGCGAATCCTTCAAAATACGCATGAAGTATTCATGTACGTATACTGAAAATAGTATATTAGCACTTAAGATCCAATTAAAAATCGAAATAGGCAGGATGATCGAATCGAAAGCTTTCTCGTAAGACAAAACACGAAGAATCTATGCAAATGTCAAGTAAGACCATGGTGATACAGGCAGTCATCAGAGAAAAACCACGTGAAATCAGCAGAACTTCGCACATCTAAATCAACGATAGGTGTCTTGGCAACGACGTGGCTATCGTTGAATCATATGACATCGATACTATTTATAAAAAGCACATCGGAAGCGCTGGCAGCGCTCATGGAGATGGAATTTCAATCAAAGAAACGTATGAATGAATGCAAATCGTTTTTATTTGTTGTGCCCATCCCCACCATTGCTTGTTTCAAAACAATTTACTGCTGCAACCTGCATATAGAATGAAATTCAACGGTCAATGGAAATTTGCTGTGGCGGAAAAAAAGACGGACTCACCCGGATAACTCACATACTATCAACATCAGTTCTAAGTAAATAGTCCCTCAGGAAGTGGACATGAAACGGTAGAAGGCGAGACCTCAACTTGGGCTGGGACAGTCCAACCTCAAATGGTGCGACACTACAAGCCTATGAAACAGGAGAGAACAAGCCCACCTACAAAATGGGGAGGTGGTTTGCTTCGAAGATTAGACCCCTGTCTCGTACAAGGCCATATTTGGGACTGTGTCACAAGTAAATTGCAAATTTCATACGTTACTAAATAAAAGAGAATAAGATAACAACTAAAATTAAACAATTCACAAAAAAATTATTAGAGCAGCTGCTCCCAGCGTTAATTTTCAAAGCCGTATCATGTTCTAATCATTGACAATAGTGGACATTACATTACAAATAGTACGAGTCTGCATCTCATATGGGAACAAAATAAGAGGTGTCGTGCAAGTGCATGATATCATCCATTCAAAACGACTGGGAAACATTCGGGCTATTTGATCAGAACGAAAACGACATATTCCTTGCTTGAGCATTCAGGGTTCAAAACCATCAGGATAAAAAAGAAAATATAGAAAGCGAAGATTCACAGCCTAGCCAAACATTAAGACTATGTAAAGGCCAATTTCCAATAAATACGGTGTTACGTGGTTCAGCTGATTCATCTCGTGTAAAAACACCAATGTTAACTCGTGTAATTGCGTACTCTAGAGCAGTACAGCACCCTACGCCTAATTTTAACCCGCATCTTTTACCTTTCACCCATCTGCCCATGTTAAAATAAGAGGAAGTTACTTTTGAGACCTTTAATTGAAGACAACGTGCTGAATAGATCGTATTCGACCTATTTCTATCCATGCATTTCCAAGGAACAACTGCACTTAATACTTCCAGCGAGAAATTGCGGACTGAGTAGAGTTGCTTTCAATTCCTGCCTAGTTTCACTTGGAAATTGCCGAGGAAAAGATTCGAGAGCAAATGTAAAGCAAACAAAAGGTCTTAGGAACTGAACTAGCAACCACGTGAAAATATCTCGATTATGTGGTTGTATATTCCGACCCACGAGTGTGACTTTACGTCTGGTTTCCATGTCCATCTGAACAAATACTGCTTACTTTTTCGGATTGAGATGATTCAAGTGATTCGGCCCGAAAAATCAGAAGACGTGATTAAAGAGCGTTATTTTTGGGAGTCCTCTGTCACCCGACGCCGATGTGAATCTGGTACCAATCTGATATCAATTAACCGACCCAGGGGCGATGTAGAGCATGGTTGGCCGAGGCTGATATTGGTCCGGGATCGAACCCGTGAGGATGGGTGTGTTATAGTGCCACTTGCCACTACAGCACTTCCTCCATCAACTGAACCTTTTGAATAAAAACAATCGTGCCCGTTCAACGAGAGCCAGAGAAGTGTAAGTTCAATAAAATGAGGAAATAAAAGATAACAATCATAGCGTACGAAGCCCACCTATGCTTAGTTGCTTCGCTCTTTCCGCAACACGGTTAGTTAAACCAGGCAGTTGTAATTTGTCAAGGGTTTTCAAAGAACGGATGTGGAGCCCCAAACGGAAACATTGTGCTGTGAAGAGTGGAATGCGATAGCGACAGCCAATAGACTGCCAAATAAAATGAAAAAGAGGTAACCAATAGAAAGCCACCCAATCAATCACAGAGTATACAACTGGACAAAAGAAACCAGGAACAGTTGTTTACCTACCTCCGGAGCGCGTATGGCAGCGTATCTTGAAGAATAGAGGAATTTCAAAAAAGTGATTGAAGCGTTGAAGCGATCTTACGACAGAGAATAATATCAAAAATACTCCTCCAACGTCGCCATTCCCTCACTCAAAACGTCTCAACAACTATCTAAATTCTAATACAACATTTCTTATCAGTTCTGCAGAGTTGTTGCCGTGCATAGTGTCGCACTAGCACAGGCACGGTCACAGGCTTAAATGCCGGATTGATATCCGCTAGGCCAACCAAGTCTTCCATCTCTCCGGGGTCGGCTAATTGCTACCAGACTTTTCTGGATAAAAGAACTGTTTTGCATATCGGCTGGCCACTACAAGTCATTGTATATGCCATATCGCATTCACTATGCCACCAGAATTCTGAATGAAAGTCGAATGCGTGGCGCATCCCAGAGGCGAAACTGATTAACGACAAAGACTTTTGTACTTGGAGTTATTCAACTCGTTTTCATGCTGCGCTGCAAATCCCTCTCACTTCAATAATATTGGAATTCTCAATCAGCTATCCTCTCGTTGTGCCAATTGGTATGCTTACCACAAAATATCATTTACATAATCAATTTCGCATAAGTTATTTTAGATTTACGAAGCCTAGTTCATAGCCCTTTTCCTAGTAGGCCCACACAGCCACCTTTTTTCAAAATTTTTAAAAGAATTTAAAAAAAGCAAAAAAAAAACAGCAATTTTTACTCTAACACCTTACTTTGGGTATTTTTCCTTCTCTTCTCCTTCCTAAGGTCATCAATCGTAGAATGAAAAATCGTCGGAAGATCGTCGTCGAAGTTTCCTAGGAATTCCTTTTTCGTTGACAGTTATTATTCTGCACAACAGTTATGAATTTTCTTCAGGTGTCGATAAAATAATCTATTTTGCTGTAAAGAACCTCCTTATCCTAGTGCAGTAGAGCTCAAGTCATAAAACAAATTGGGCAGGTCATCAAATACACAAGACGAGCAAAAAGTTTATTTGCATATAAAAAATGGTTTGCAAAAAAAAGTTGTACGTGCCACAGTGAAAAGTCAAGTAGAGTGACGATTAAACATGAAAAGAGAAGGGTATCCAGATTTCCTCGATAAAGTGCCTATGATGTTTCTAGAAGATACAGCGTTCCTAGGAGTGTTCCTGGAAAAGATTTCACCTTGCCTGAGGAGGTATCTAATCTGAAAAAGTGGAGCGAGGCTGTCAATAGAAGATGCCTCGTTTTACGACTGAGAATGCTAGATTGATTCTTCGGGATCGGAATTCCTCAGAAAAGAAGCTCTTGAAAAAAAAAGTTGGAAAAAAGGTTGAGAATTGAAAAACTTCGCTGTGCAGAAGGGAGCTAAGCTGATCAATTCAAATCAAAACTCTCGAAAAAGAAAAATCGGAAAAGAAAAGGAACGAGGTTGTGCGTACGAAATTCCCTCGAAGTACAAGCAATTAAAGGCACAGTTCACGATAATTTTGGTTAATCCAGATTATGATGGAAAATGAAAGACAAGATCGGAAATAGTGCGATGAATGTGAAGAACCTGCGTGAATCGGTGTTTCCAAAGTGAAAAAAAGGCTTCGAAAAACCATTAAAAAGGGGGCTGGACGAGAATGAGACCAGAAAAATGAGAAGAGTGGGGCGTTCGGACGAGCTACACAATGTCTCAGTGCGCACGTGTGGGTCCTGGTAAGAATAACAGACTATGGTAAGCAAAAATTCATTCACTTATAAGCACAAGTAAACAAAAAACCCTAGTCACACGAGAAGTAGCTCATCTTTTTCAGCCTCTAGGAGTAGTAAATAAGGGATCGCGGCAGCAAAAGGGATGGGAGAAAAACACCGCCTCATAACTCGGCGACCAGCTGATTGTGTGTGGGTCCTAGAACGAATATTCGCAGTCTGTATTGTCTCGGCACTCGTCTGTCGTGATAACGTGACATCGATCGAGAGGCGGGAAAGCCATTGACGTTCCCGCCCATTGAATTATCGTGAACTGTGCCTTCAAGTTAGATTGATTTCTTCGGACAGAAGCTACTGAAAAAAGGCCTTTAAAAGAAACTAAAACGACGTTGCCAACAGGTCGTCCAGCTTTTTGCATGGTTAATAACATTGCGGATCGAAAACGGCCATTCAAGACTAAAATTTCCTAATTTAGGAACTCATAAAAAACCGGACCAAAGCTATAATTGGCAAGAGGTCTTGTTGTACAGATAAGGACGTCAGATGGATCGTTTTCGAGCAATCTTCCTCGTAAAAGAGACTTCGAGAAGAAACAGGAACGAGCTGTCAACAAGAAAACGACTCGTTGGACAATCAGGAAGACTAAAAAACCTGTGATTCTTCTGAATAGGTTAGGGAAGGAAGAACTGGGACGTGGCTGGGAATATGAAAGTGTTATGTTGCACAGATAAGGGTACGAAAACAGCTTTGGAAACATTTGGATGACAACTTTTTGGAAAAAAAAAGAATTCGAAAAAATGTACGAACTTATTGTATCGTAGTTCTTGGAAGAAAATCATGAGAACTGCTTCAAGAAAATGAAAAAAGCCTTATAGTATGGCAAGAAGCTGGAGCGATTGTTTTGGATGGCACTTGTACGAAAGGGACACAAAAAAATGGACCGTCGCTGGGTGAAGGTACCAGTAAGGTAAGGGAAACACAGACCCTACCGGATCGAAGTTCAGGTGTGAGCTTCCCAGCGGCATTCTTCTTCTAGCCCTTCCACATAGCGTTAACCCTTCGCCATCAGAGATTCCAGCGTATGTGTAAGCAGCCCCCATTTCCTTCCACCCACGATGCCTTTTCCTCCCACTTGTTCTCGAGGAAGTCCTTTCTGTTCACTTCCCGTTATCCCATCTTTTTGGTGGCTTCCATTGGGCCTCCGATTTTGATGCCCCCATTATCAGGTGATTAGTGGTGTTTTCAGCACGTGTTCGTTCATACCATCGCAGACGCTGCTCTCTCATGCTCAGTTGGACAGGGCTTGTTAGGTTCACCGTCCCGAAATCGCTGTTCCCGATTCTGCCTGCCCATCTCCAATCGAAGGCCCACCTGAACATCCACATTGTAGCGATTGAAGGTACCTTCCATGACTTTTACCTGGACTAGCATTCACTGCCCTAGAACATCGAGGACCCTACTGCTATTATAGCTATGTCGTCAGTAGACATGCCTAAGGTCTTTTTTAGAGAATGAGGACGAATAAAAAGTAAAAGAAATAGAATCCGATGAAGTATCAACCGGCGGTCCACCGGTCCAAATCACGACCAGAAAATTTAAATCGCGTAAATCCGTAGAATTGATAGTTTTGTCTGCTGCCTATTTACCCCTCCAACATTTTATTTTGCGGCTAGTGCCACGGTAAGGTCCTGGCATCAATGTTAACTTTTCGTTGTAGTGCAATATGCACACTGTCATTATTAACGGCCTACGGTAGCTCAAAATTGACTCTAAACTAGTACACTTTTCCCGTGCCACAGTAACCCACTTATGCTGACTCTGCTTATCTACTTTTCGTAAGGTTCTCTAACTCGCATTCGGGGCAGGACGGTCGAGGTTGCAAATTTTTCTAAACTGTTTGATTTGTCTTCATATTTTTCGGCATCAGTATGTATTGATCTCTTTACTGTTGTTTTAGAATTGAAATAGGGTTTTTATGAGTAATAAACCGCCAAATTTCGTAGCATGTTCCGTCATAACAATTGCAACAACTGGCGAACTTTTATAATAATCAAGTCTGTCACTGAATATTTAAGGATGTATCAAGAATAATTGAAACCAGTTCCTTCATCCCTGTTTTTCCTGTCCTACATTAGCAAAGCATTTTATTTTGTTTCTTAAGTCGACGAGTATCTTACAGTACAGCCGTTCAGTCGTAGTTATTCTTTGTTCTGGAGTTTCTTATGTCACGGCAAAACCGATAGTCAAACAGACTATTGATGTTGTCGTGATCATAAGACAACAGCTATTTTAGTCATTAGAGTTTTGTCTGAACTTTCGCGGTGATTTTTAAATTTAGCCCAATATAAATGAGGTACTCGTTCCCTTCTATTCGTCGTTTTTTTAATTCAATGAGTTACAGGTATACTCTCGAATTCATTATCATGGAGCAGTACAACACGAAAAGTGCCGGTAAGAGACCAATCATTTCAGCTTCCTCACAATCAGAGTTGTACTGCTCCACATTTTCAATGTTTGTATTCGAAATAAATGAAGCTCAAGTGATTATAGGAGTCAGACGTTTAATGAAGGAAGCGTTGGAATTACGCGAACCCACGGAAATGTATTTTGCTCAACCTCTTGAGGTAAGGATGTTGATCTGAATGCGGTCTTTTTTGACTGATCAGGTCTTTCTTCTTTTTATGGATTCTGTGGTAATTTAANTTAACCATGCTCTGCTTCCTCTCTTTACGTTCACACTTTATGCTCCGAAGATAATGTAATAGGGAGATGGATAGCTGACTTCCCTCTGACTGCCATGGCCCCCTTCAAACGAGCAATTTTCTACTTCTGGTGACACATATTTCTTTTTTGAACTAAAACTGGCGTCAAGTTGCAGGCACTTTCACTAACAGTGATTATGGACAGCAGCTTTTTGTCATTCCAGCATCATATTCCCCTGTCAGAACTTATTCGGGGCTGCTCTTTTTCACTATTGAGATTTTTCGGGCTTTTGAAAGCAGAGCTGTTTTGGCATCGATTGGACAAATATCCGGTTGCTCGGGCTCGTTGTTGATATCGTCTCCGCTTGATGTAGAGTCAATAACCACAGTGAAAGCTTCAACGTTGTGACATTTTGTTGAATCGTCCGCAGCTGAGGAAGTCCTTAACTTCAAGACTCCGTAATCATGAGGCACAATTATATCACTCCACTTTCTCGGTGTTGCTGACTCATATTACAGCCCAGTTTTTTTCCACAATGACTCACGGTTAGGGATCAGTTTTCACTAAACCCTTTATCTGCACAGTTTTGCAATATAAATCAATCTTTCAAACACAGTGATAGCGAGTAAATTACCTAACAATTGAGAAATTTTGCCCTTCTCAATATTTTTATGCTTCCAGGATAATCTTTTTGAATGGCACTTCACCGTACGAGGGCCTCTGGATTCGGATTTCGATGGAGGAATTTACCATGGTCGAATCCTATTTCCACCGGAATACCCTATGAAACCACCAAATGTGGTCATCCTTACGGTAAGGTTGTAGTACAAATCATCAGGGCTTTTTCAATAATTGATTGCAGTCGCTTAATTATGTATTATTTAGCCTAATGGACGGTTTGAACTGAACAAAAAGATTTGCCTTTCCATTTCTGGGTATCATCCGGAAACATGGCTTCCTTCGTGGTCCAGTGAGTGCAATTTTATGTTTTATTTCCCTTTTGAAATAACCTCATTCAAAATATAATTTAGTTCGGACCGCTTTACTCGCTTTAATTGGGTTCATGCCAACTGCCGGAGCCGGTGCTCTTGGTAGCCTTGAATACCCTGTAGCTGAAAGAAGAAAATTAGCGAAGAAGTAAGAATTCCGTTCTCTTTTCTAATTTATTTTTTCCAAAGTGATATATGAAAAATAAATTACCAGCGTTCACGCCCTGATAGCGGAATTATACAGTAGAATACCTTCATTAGGCCAGCTTGACACGAACACATTCCCATTTTCATAGCGGTAACATGATTCACCACACTTGAGCTTATTAATTATTAAATATTCAGAAGCTTGGAGTGGAAATGCAAGGAATGTGGCGCATGTATGAAGAATGCCCTGAAATCTCTCACAGAAGACGCAAAGAAGAGTAACGAGGAAGCAAAAAAGCTTGCAACACAGCTCAACTTCAAGGTTGGTGCCATTTCCCATTTGATTTCTCTGTATGACCTTGCAATTATGAGCGTTTGCGGTTTTTTTTT